TCACATAGGAACTTCACTGTTTGACTTCTTCCTTGAAATGTGTATAAGCAAAAAATGAATCTAGGGTTATTTTGGAGAATAACTCAACTCTAAGGTCGGAACCTTTTGAGTCCATCATACCCAAATCTATGGTCTTCAAAGCCTTGGAATTAATAGTCTTTGTGTTATTTAGATTGATTAAAAAAGACCCGACATTTTGATTGCTAAAGGAATTCATTCCTTGGTTTGGTTTCGTTCCCATGATGTTAAAGTGAAAGATATGATTAGGGTGTCCAGCTTGCACGCCTTCATACTGCTACAAACCTAAAACTTTTGTCTGGTTGATACTCCATCGTCTACCCACTCTAAATTTTGATATGGATTCACAAACTAAAATAGATGCCAAAACTTTGCGCGACGACTTTAGACATAGATGCAGGTTTCCGGCAGCAGCGGTTTAGACCTAGATGCAATCTCTGATCAAACTCCAACAACTTTAGATCCAGATGCAGATGCAATCTCCGATCAAACATGTTTTATTCATAAATAGGTATAGATTTTTATTATAGATCTGACCCGATGATTAAGGGGATGACGTCCACACTCCTCATCCTCATCCTTGCAGGTTGCTGGTCACGTGGAGTACCCTTTATCTGTCATTAATCTGGAGTTGGTTAACGACATCAACACCAATACAAGTATTGGTTTTTCATCCCATGGATCTTTGATATGGGCTTATTTAATTATATATTTAGGTCATTATCCTAATACATTTGAGTAAAAATGTTATATTTTAAGATATATGATAAATGATCAATTACAGTTAAATGGAAGCTTGGAATGCAAAAGGAAGATACATTAGCTAAAAAGACGCGAAAGGATGTTGTTGGACAGTTTGACACCTCTTCAGTGTTTTGACCATATCTAATGACTCGTAACTCCGATTGACGAGATTCAAGATGTTTTGAAAACTAGACAAAATTTCGAATGACTTTTGTGTTTGTGAAAAATTCGGGTTCCCAGTTTCCACGTCGTGGCAAAGCCATTTCCACGGTGAGGAAAATTTAAAAAATCGTGAACGTTCTGAATCCAGTTCCCACGGCGTGGTAAGTTTTTCTCCACACCATGGTGATGCTAAACCCATAAATAGAGTTGAAAATTAGCCTTAATGACACATCTTTAACCCTAATTCGTTCCGTATGAAAAATAAACCCCATAAATGTTGTTTTGAGGGTCTAGAAGACGATCAAAGAGCCATTAAACTAATATGAAGCGAATATCTGAAGGATTCGAGAACGGATTCATGTCGGGGATTATTCGATTTGCTTTTATGATCACGATTAGTATTCCAACTGTGTTCCTTTTGTTTTTACTTTCTGAATTTAGGTGTTAAAACCTTTTGCTTTGTGTTAAATATTAGAAGAATCATAAGATTTTGGATTAAATTGCATATTTGGTTTGGTTATTCTTATTTAATTAATTGTTTCAAGTTTGATTGAAGATCCATATGTGTTAAATATCGTTGTTTTATTACCTATTGTTGAGTTTATGTGATTAGAAGAACAATCTAGTTATATATTCTTGAATCATAGTTGTTTTATTACCATAAAATGATTGCGACTAGTGTTGGATCAAAACCTAGGGTTAGGTTAATAAAACTATGAACTTTTAATGCGTGTACATGTTTTAGATTACCATTCTTAGCATGATTTAATTCTAATAACCTTTAGGATTAATAAAAAGTGAATATTGCGTGATACGAACTAAACAATGAATTTGGGGATATTTAATTGCATGGCGAGTCCTTATAGTCATTAGTATTTGTGTATGGACCAAATACATAAATCAATTTAGGAATCGTTGAATAATGAATAAAATACCATTGCACTAAAGTAAGTAACCATTATATTGATATGAAATCCAGTCTGAACCAAAGTATTCGAAGTGATTTGTTTCCATTCAGTTTATCTACTTAGTTTAGTTGTTGATTTAATTGAGCTTTTATAATAAAAGCCCATTTTACTGATTTCATTTATTTAGTATAACCTATAATAAAAAAATCTGATATTAATTCACTACCGTTCCCCTAGAGTTCAACACCCTTGCTTATCAAAACTATATTATATCGATCAGGTTCATTGCCTGTAAGGTGTGGTTTTGATGCAATAAATAAGAAATTATAAATAAAAAACTAGTGAATTAAAATAACACATCAATCTTAAATACGTTATAATGATAATTTTAATTTTAATATTGAATATCTGCTGATGGAGGTGAGATTTACAGCCACCACTGATAAGAGAACACTTTTCCTTCCGGATGGCTTTCATTTTGAATAAGATATAAACCCAGAAACAATGATACACATGCAGTGGTTGTAGGTGATAACTCGTTGGATGGATGTGGAGTTTTGATTAAGAAGGAAGAGATGAAGAAGATGAAGTGTTCTTCTTGGGTAAAAAGAAAAAAGGATGTGGGGTATATGTTGGAGAAAGAGGGGGAAAGAAAGAAAGAGAGAGAGATGTGTGAACCCATAATTTAATTTTATAAAAAATTAAATTAAATAGAAAAAACATAAAAAAAATATCACAATGGCATATTAGTCATTTTAGTTTACCGATTGACCAAAACCACAGCCAAAATTGTTCAAAATGACCACCAATCCAAAAAAATGAGGTTTGGACCAAAACCCAGAAGAAATACATACCACAAGAACCATTTCAGTTTACTGATTGACCAAAACCATAACCAAAGTTGATCAAAAGGACCATCAAACTAAAAAAATTGAAGTTTGAACCAAAACCAAAAAAAAAATACATACTATATGAACCATTTTTGCAATTTTATCTATAATATTTATATAATTCACCATAAAAAAGGTATTGATATTAAAAATTGTAACTGAGGTCAATATTATCATACAATATTATCATACTAGAAGTAGAGACATGTATCAAAGTTAGGTCATTTTGGTATATTAGTTGAAAAGCTGAATTCTAGCTAAAATGTTCTCTGATAGCAATAAACTAAGTTATTAATTAATAGTATTTGATAAAAGTATTAGATTGTTATGTAAAATAGCACAAATGAACATTTATATATGACTAAAAGTAAAAAAAATAGATATAACTAAAAGTATATTTGAAATATCTTTTTTTAAAAATATCATAAACTTATCAAAAATTATCTCAAAGCAGCTTATAAGCTAAAATAAGATATCTTTGTGGTTTTACCAAACATTAAATTACAATAATCTAACTTACTTTTACCGAACAATGTCCTGATTTTAAATGGCAAAGACATCTTTTTATATGACAAAAAAATTAGGCGAACAATTTTTAGAAACTATAAGGACTAATCACGCTAAAAATAAAACAAACCATATGGACCCAATGGATACCATCTTCTATAGTTATAGGGCATGTTCAACACGCAACGTTTGGGAGCTTCTGGCTTCTAGCTTTTAAAAAAACGCTAGTAAAAAAGAAAAAACATCGTTCGACGACAGAAGCGTTTAGCTTTTAGCCTAAACAAAACGCTCCAAAATTAAAAGCTACATGGAGTAGCTTTCAACAAAACGCTTCAAAATCAAACGCTACCTGCTACTCGCTAACCTACCAACTAGTTTTGCCGAACATCCCAGAATTATCATGTTTTGACAAACCAAATGAATTGACCATTCATTTTTTTTCTTTATTTCATAAAAGCATGATACAAGATTGTTTATTTTCCATCGGTTTCAAATAACAACTATTAACACTCATTAAATTTAATTTGTGCAAATAGCTATTAATGGAAATGAATGAACATTTAAATTTTTTGATTTAAAAACAATAATTTAAATATTGAAATATCATATTATAAAATAGTATAAGATTTTGTGCAACATGATTCTCTGAATATTTAGTGTATAATAATCTGCAAGAGTGGTGTATGGAGTTGGGATTCACAAAAAAAGGCATATTAAGAAAAGTTGGTGAACCTCTTCGCTATTAATATAACAACTTATCAAATGTTAATTTTATTAGAATAATTTTTAAAATGAATAGAATATATAATTTAAACAGATAATATTTTATATAATGTTGGAAATATTTTAATAGTTATGCAAAGTTATTGTTAATTTTTCTCAGATGAAGAAAGTGAATGTTTATTTTAGAGTGACAAAAATAACTCGTAGTTCGTAACTTCATTTATTACATAGTTGGAATATACTCCATTTTAATTGTTCCAACAAATTGACAATGTTAATTTTATATGGCACCTTCTATTTATAAATATTTTTTTTCTTTCATTTTGTTAGGTTGCGTCTTTGTAAACAGAGGATTAATGAACTTGAGCTCATTGCAGAAAACACGTTGTTCTCTGTGGCCGAGACCAGTGAGAGGAGGGATTGTAAACATCGTGTTCTTGATTTGGAAAATTTGGCTAAGAATGACATGATACAAAAAGCTAGAAACAATTAGATCTGCGATGGTGATGAGAATTCCAGTTTCTTTCACAATTCCATTAAAATAAAAAATAGGAGGAATAACATTCATATTATCATGGTCAACGGATGTTGGATCATTGATGTGGAGTCAATTAAGCTTGAAACTTGGAAAATTTTCAGGGATAAA